GGTAAAAGAATTGAAGGAGATTGTGTTAATAACCAGATATTCTAATATTCGCTTGCAAATACTGTATTACCATAGTGGAAGGAGGAATAGAAGAATGAAAAGAGAAATTGTTCACTACAAAAATTAGTTTCTGCAACACTCAGAATGACTGGCTGGGTTGTTTCAGAATCAGAATGTTCCATGAATGTTCTGCATATACTTTATTTTTTTATTCTGGTTTTACTTTTATTGTAAATTGCTGTAAGATTCAGTAGTTGGTAGTATAAAATGCAATCATAAAAATAAAAGCAATTATTAATGCATATTATAGGTCAGAATGAGGGTTTTTTTTTTTCTGTCCCAAGAAATTCAGTGAAAATAACTTGTAGATAAACATACAACTGTTCTAAGCAACCTTTGTTACAATGGTGTAGGAAACACAAATATTTATAACCATTCTTGCAACTTTAAGGTTATGTTTCAGTAAATACATTAAGAATATGCAAGGTTCAGATTCAATAAAGATCCTTTTTATCCTGAAGTTTCAAGATTTTTGCTCAACTCCATAGTAGTTTATCATTGTGGCAATGTTTTTTTGCTCCTGTTTTTCTTGCATTTGCTGAAGGATAAAAGAGCAAATTCACCTTTGCTGCAGACAATAGAGAATCTTAATTGAATAAATATTTGTACCGAAGGCTGAGATAAGAGAATCGTCATTGTTTGTTTCTTAATCCTTTTCATATACTGTGTACAAATAAAAATGCACGTAGGAGGCAAAAAAATTCGTAGATGAAAGAAAGCTCTTGTAGAGAGGCTGTTTTTAATAAGATGGCAATAATGCAAATAGTTTCAGTATCAATATGGTTATCTTTAATAACCAATGTAATTTACATATAATTAGAAATAAACTAGACCAATGGTGGCGAACCTATGGCACGGGTGCCAGAGGCGGCACTCAGAGCCCTCTCTGTGGGCACGCATGCTGTCATCCCAGCCCCACACACACACACCCGTGGCCCCCTCCTCACTAGCAACCCTCCAGAGGAGAGTCGCCCAGGGTGCAGTCTGTGCAGAGCAGTGCAGCCAAGGACATGGCAGCCAGGCAGCGAGGACAAGACTCCACTCTCGCGCCCGATTGCGTGCAGATGATGCTGTGGGGCGCGGACAGAGGGCATGGCCTCCATGACACTGCTGGGCCACCTGGGCAATCTGCTGTGGCGGGCCATGGAGGCAGTGGGTGGCCCTGCGGGCAGGAGAGGTGGGGGTGGGCCAGAGGCAAGGCAGGTTTTGGGCACTCAGTCACTAAAAGGTTCGCCATCACTGAACTAGACATTTAACTGGAAAAGAGTAGATCTGTTTCATAACAGCATACTGTTGAACAGGTGTTCCCATTTCCTCAGCTGGTGACTTACCATCAATCTTACTGTCACTTTTGGAGCCAGGAAAGCAAGGTGTCCTGTGGCCACTGCATTGGACAATTTTCAAGCTAAGTGATGAGATTCAGAAAGTGGAGGATTTTCAGGCCTTCATGGGGATAGAACAGTGGTGGCAAACCTATGGCCTGTGTGCCAGAGGCAGCACTCAGAGCCCTCTCTGTGGGCACGCACGCTGTCGTCCCAGCCCTGCCTCCCCCCCCATGGTCCCCTCCTCACCAGCAGTCCCCCCAAAGGAGAGTCGCCCCTGGGCATGGCCCGCACAGAGCAGCGTAGCCAAGGACATGGCAGCAGGAACAAGACTCCGCCTTCGCACCCCATCATACGCAGATGATGCTGTGGGGCACGGGCAGAGGGTGTGGCCACCATGGCGCTACTGGGCCGCCATGGCGATCTGCGGCGGGCCATGGAGGCAGTGGGTGGCCCTGCGGCAGGCAGTGGGCGGGGCAGGGGCAATTTGGTGGGCGGGGGGGTTGGGCACTCAGTCTCTAAAAGGTTTGCCATCACTGGGAGGGAGGATTTCAAAGTGGTGCTTATTTTTAGTAGAAGGAGAAAGTATTCATATTAGGAAATGTATGATAATGTTGGGAAATAGATACGTTTTATTCCCATATTGCATATTAGAGACTGAGGATCAGAAAGTATCCTGAACTGAAATTCGAATTAAGACTTTCAAAGCTCTGTTTTACACTCACTGAGGGAGGTGTGCTGCTTCCAGCTAGGAGAGTCTTAATTAAATGCAAACCGTGATGAGGCATTTGTTTTATCTTGGTTGATATAAGAATTAAACACTATTTTTAAGTTGTGTAGACTGCCACAAGGCTCAGCTATCTTGGTTGTCTTGTGGGCACCATAAAGATTTGTGGGGAGTTCCATACAGAAACCACACATGCAAATCCTACTCACAGTCTGGCATGAGGCATATCGTTTGGTGTTCAGTGATGTAAATCCATTTGGCACATAAAGTGGGAGTTAACATGTTCCATCCACAGACAAATGTATTTATTTTGCAGTGTAGTCCTTAAGATGTTGGCCATCCTCAGCCATGGAAGCTCATTGAATGACTTTACTCTTCTATCTCTCTCTCATCCCAACACGCCTCATACATGGATGTTGTACGGAAAAATAGGAGACGGGAACCCTGTGTCCCCCGTCTTGAGCTCCCAAGTTGCACCCCAGTATTTATCATTGCATCATACTGATCCTCTTGATTCTCAGGAATCACGTGTGCCATTTAACGATGCAAACATAATTTCAGAGGGCTACTTTCATTTATTGCCTGCGTTCAAATGTAATAGAACTGCTGTGAAAAAAGGAAACAAATTGGAGAAAAACTGAGCAAGACAATTTGTGGATGGATGGATGGATGGATGGATGGATGGATGGATGGATGATGGATGAGTGGGTGGGACGGATAGACAGACAGACAGACAATATTCCAGCATAGTATTGTTTCTCTAGATCAGGGGAACTCAACCCTCAGTCCGAGGACCAGCACTGGTCCGCAGCATGCCAGAAACCGGGTTGTGCAAACAAGCAAAGCAGGAAGTGGGATGCAGGTAGAATGCTAAACCACCACTCATCTCCGGTCCATGGAAAAAACCTCTCTCCATGGAACTAGTTTATTCAATGATTGGACTATATCATGTTCCTTCATGAGTACTAATAACACTGAAATATCTACATATATTCTTTGCATCCAAAGGGGTATTTAATTAAAAGTGAGTTGTGCTTTTTTTTTTAATTCCAGAAGATTTATGTTGTAGCAATGATAGTCTTCTTTGAAGACTGTCTGTTTCTTTTGGAAAACAAACAAACAACAGCAGCATTATTTTATTTCAGAGCTGCCACTAAAGAGAGATAGGATACCTTCCCTGAGTGCTCAACAGTGTGGAGACATATGTTTTGTTTTGGAACCATGCAGACACTGATTGAAAAGCAGTTGCAGAATTCAGTCTAGTCTTTAGCAGGAATATGAACTGGCAGTAACAAGATGGTCTTAATATACCTGAGAGTAAAGCTTTGCTATGCTTTGGATTCAGTTGAGAAAAAATGTGTTGGAACACACAGAATGCCAATGCAGCTGTGGTATTAATTAATCAATAATGAATTAAAATAATTATTAAAGCTACTTCGCCTGGATCCAGGATTGGGCTGCTATAATGGAAGTCTCTTATTCTGTTGTTTTAATGAGTTGCAGACAAATGCTCTATTCCCACAAATTCCAAGGGTGCCTTCCAAACTGTATATGAAACATTGCATAGCTGAATTACAGAGTCCTCTCTACTCAAGAGGCATCGTAAACTCCCTTACCTTAACACTATCTTTAAAATAACAGGCCTTTAATTCAGGTCTTTTATTTAATCTTCCCTATCCATATAGTCAAATAATATCTTGATGATTGGGGGAAAATATTTATGATGACTTGTCGAAAGGATCAGTCAATGGCTCTGAGAAGATCTCTGATGGGAAGGAGGGAGGTAACAGGACACATAGAGGTGGCTGGCGACCTAGGGTTTACAGTTGGGTTTCTAGATCAGACATGTCAAACTCGCAACATCACGTGATGTCATGTAATGTATCGGGACTGTTTTGCCATTGCCAGCAATGGGGTGGGTGTGGCTTCTGCGGGCCGGCAGTTTGACACCCCTGTTCTAGATGACTCTTTATTCTTTTTCACTGCTGGAAGAAATGGCGTAATTTAATGGAGATTTATAGCCCCATGAGTCCTTTCAAATTGTTTTCCTATTCACATTCCGTAGAACAGGGGTGTCAAACTGGCGGCCTGTGGGCCGGATGCATCACATGCAAGCCACACCCACCCCAGCTTCACAAAAGCAAAAAAAAAATCACGATAAGTCATGTGATGCGATCGAGTTTGACACCTGTGCTGTAGAAGAAGGAGTGGCAGAACCTGTGGGCGGAGTTAAAAGAGAGACCAGTCTAGAATCCCTACATAGCCACAAGCTATGTCCAACCTCCCTTGAATTCCTTATCTAATTCCTTATCTAATTCCAAGGAGATGCAGTTGAGAATATTCTTGTATATTGGCATGAATAGCAATAAATTGGTTTAATTGGACTTTCATGTGTGGACCTTTCTTTTGCGCCTGACACATTCTTTCTCCAGTAAGTCTTTAGCTGCAATCATTGTTCTGTGTACCCATGCCTACACAAACACACACATATGTCTCCAGAAGATAAGCAGAGAGCCCGACTGAGTTAGCTGTTTTATCAGATTTTACTCTAAAAGCATCATTACTTGTCATCTCTAAGAATCTGTTGTGGAAACAGATGGTGGTTACAAAGGGAAAACAACAAGCGAAATTGCCAAATATAAAAGATTCAGGTTCCAAAAGCCAGGGAAGATGTATATGCATTTTTTCTCTTACACTCTATGATAATTTCCCTCTTTTCTCAATTATTTTTCTATATTTTCTAGATGAAAAAGAAGAAGGAATATTAGGGAGCATTCTTCTTCCAAGCTTTCAGATAGCCATGCTTTCTTCTGAAGATCATATCAACCGCAAATATGCATTTAAGGTGAGAATATTCTTCAACTTCATGTTTGTGTGTGTTTTATATTTCAGTGGAGTATAATTGTGAACACATGAATCACAGAAAGGGAACAGTTCCTGAAACAAAAATGCACGCAGACATTTTCTTCCTTGTTTCATTAAATCGGAATGCATGTGTTTGTTTTCCATTCTAACCAACTAAGGGATAATTTGATTTGATTGCAATACTCCTGCAACTTCAGCGTAAGACTTTTATAGTTTTCTCAGGAAATAAATGCATTTTGCTTATTTGCTTATTCAATTAAAGCACAATTAGTAGGATCTGTAACCTATTAAACTGAAATTAATTTCAACCCAGCACAACATGTGAGCATTGCCTTTTTGTGTTTTTAATACCTGTCAGAGATTCCAATTAGCCTTGTCTTTGCAAGCTAGTTACTTCCTCTTCCTGCTCCATATAGTTTCCTCGTAGGATTTGCATGTTCTTTTTAATGAAGTTAGTCTTTTCCCACACCCATAACTCCTGAAGCTGTTAACCCCTTGGATAAATCTCCTGTAGAGAAAAATCTTGCCAAACAAAAGCAGACTACTTGTATCATTAACAACCTTTTGTTTAATGACCTTTCAGAATTACAACAGCACTGAAAAAAGTGACTTATGTACATTTTTCACACTTAATGACCGTTGTATGTGATCATGTGATCAAAATTCTTGTGATCCCCTTTTGTGACCTTTTGATAAACAAAGTCAATGGGGAAGCCAGATAACAAACAAGGTTGCTAACTTACCAGCTGCAGTGATTCACTTAACAACCGAGGCAAGAAAAGTTGTAAAATGGAGCAAAATTCACTTAACAAATGTCTGACTTAACCATTTTGGGGCTCAGTTGTGATCGTAAGTTGAGGACTACCTGTAGTTCAGACATTCAAGTGAAAATAGTGTTAGGCTGGTCTTTTCCCCAGATCTGACCTGCTGTCCTTAGCATAGGTTTTTCAAGGTACATTTTCTTCATTGTATGCATAATTAACTCTTTTTCTATAAAATGTCCTGACCTTTCACATTTTTGTTTCCTGGATTTGAACTACTTTGAGCTGTTCTTGGCGATGAGTAAACTAAATCACGCTTCATATTTTAACGGGTGAGTATATATTTGCAACTTCCTATGTTTTGGGTTTTTTTCCCTGATCCCAGCTAATCCATTTCTATAATCTGTGCATACCAGATGCCGGCAGAAAATATTTATTCTATAATTGATAGAAATCATTTAGAAACTCAGCAGGGGCTCTGAACAACAACAAGCCTTCCAAATTTAATACTAATGTGCTTTTCCTCCAATATAATTGCCTCAGAAGATGAGCACAATGATGAATAGTTTTGTATTAGTTACAGTGGGGTGGGTTTCTAGCAGCAGCTTGCATAAATCTTGAAAGCGATAAATTACTGATTAAGGAAACCAGTAATGATCTTTGATTTTCTTCCCATTCTCTCTTTTCTGTGACAGAATGTTGTACCTTTCTCCCCACAAAATGACCGTGTCATTTCCAATCAGGCAGCTCATCCAAACATGAGGACCTATTATTTCTGCACAGATACAGGGAAGGAAATGGAATTATGGATGAAAGCCATGATAGATGCAGCTCTTGTACAGACAGAGCCCGTGAAAAGGTAATGTAAGATGACAGCCCCATAGAATCAGCCAGTTATGGTTCCGGCCATGATTACATATTGTGAGGAGATGGGTTCTGTACTAAAAACCAAGCCTCGTATTTGTTAGCTTTCTGAAGACCTTAAAAAAGTAACATCAAAGCTTACTTAAGCTGTTTCCCTGGATGTGTGCATCTTAAGGTTTACTGGAAGATCCAAATGATGTGTCATCTCCCAAGGCTTTCTGTCGAGGTTCAGTTGCTTTTAGGAGACTTATACTGGTGTAGACTGTTGAAGAGCAATTGTCCCAGTTGGAAGGAGGACTCAAATGGGGAATTACTATGTTTTCCCCCAAAATAAGACCCAACTGGAAAATAAGCCCCAGCAAGATTTTTCAGGATGCTCGTAATATAAGCCCCACCCCCAAAATAAGCCCCAGTTAAGATCATCAGACATATTTAGTATCGTATTTCCCTGAATTTAAGACCTAACCGGAAAATCAGCCCTAATACACCTTTTGGAGCAAAAATTAATATAAGACCCAGTCTTATTTTGGGGAAAACATGGTAGTTTGGGCCTTCTACATTAATACAACAGGGCAAGGTCTGATGTCCCTCCCTCCCCCATACTTTTGAGTCTTACCTGGTCTTTCCCATGCAAGTCTGCCAGTCTGGGGAGATTCCTGGATTATAAGCAGAGAACAATAAAGCAGCTATCCCGAAGGTGCTTCTTCAGAAGGCAATTGGACTTTATTTTTTCCTTGAAAACTTTTCACTTCTCATCCAAGAAGCTTCTTCAGTTGAGAACTGAAGAAGCTTCTTGGATGAGAAGGGAAACATCTATAAGGAAAAGTCTAGTGGCCTTTTGCAAAAGCACCTTTGGGACAACCATGACCTGGATGATTTGAGAATCTCCATAGACAATAAGGTAGCTAGTCTAAACCCTTCAGATCTGGGTCTGGGTCTGGATCTGGTTGTTCGTGGCTGACACAGAGGCATTTTTTTAGGACTTGGGAAGCACACAAATCTATGAACAGTAAAGATGCTCTGCAGCTTGCATGCTACTAAGGCTTGTTCCATTTTGTCAGTAATAGAATGAAGAATTGCAGAGGCGATAAGTGGATTTTAATGGGCTGTTGCCCTATTTTGTAGTATAGTTTTATGTAGCAATAATTCCTTGCCATACAGTGGTACAGAGCTAAGGTGACTTTTCCCTCGACAGCCAAGGCTATAAATTTCATCCATAATATTGTTCTCATGGGTTTAGCAGGTAGTACATGAAAACTTATGTTGGCCTAGATTGCTCACATTCTAGCTTCTGCTTACTGAACTGCAAAGTTACTCGGGATAAATAAGTAATAAATTAAAATTAGATATTGTATTCACCTCAAATAAAAGATATTGTACTATTTTTGTTCTATTTAGTATTTCCATGCTCCAAACCAATCAAAGCAAGTAGTTCGAACTGCAAAACAAATTAGATGTTTAATCTACTTTGAATAGGATGTACTTTCCCTGATTTGATTCTTGGCTGTTTCTGTTAAAACGTTGTATTTATTTTCTGTTGTTTACAGTTTGGTTATTAAGCTGGATAATGTTTTAGGAAAACATTGGTGTCCCAAGAATGAAAGCTTTTATTTAACAAAGTTAGGAATTTAGTTTTGCTTCTGAGGCCTGGGAATTGGAACATGTCAACTGGAAAAGAACATAATAAAATCCCAATCCTCTTTCCCTCTTCATATTTACTGCCCTGATTATTTGCAGTAGCTGAAATAAGTAGTGCTTTTCAGATTGGACTTGGATATTTTCATCTCCATTCTGAAAGTTGAAAAATCAAAATAATCATATTTTAAGCTATTTTAGAGGGGAAATGATATCTAAAGTATAAAGCAGAGGGAACCTGAATCCTGCCTTTTTTATTCTTATACTTTTCAAGCTGAAAATAACCATTTGATATCTGAAAAATTGCTATTATTACTGTGAAATGAAAAGAGTTTTGCCCTTTTTTTATTGAACCAGTAACTCATAATTTCGATTCTAAATCTGTCTTTTTGTATAATACAGTCTGAATACTGTATTATAAACATAGCATATTTCTCTAGACTTCTATTGTCCTAGTGAACATCTTTAATCTACATTTTCCCGAAGTTGTTTTCTCGTAGAGTCTCAATTGTAAATGTTGCTACATTGTGTGTGTGTGTGTGTGTGTGTGTGTTTGTGTATTGTTCGATTTTCTTCATTTTGGTTATAAGTAGGTTCAGCTTTAATAATGATCAGAGAGGGTTATTGAGAATAAATAATGCACATTGTTTTGAATAAGCAAATCTGACATTCAGGCAATGAAATAAATCCTCATTTGGCTATATTTCTGATTATATTTCAGTTATAATGTAGGTAAATTGAAATAGGTTATTTACAAAATAAAATCTAACTTTTCCATTAAAAAAAATTATATTTTTATATTGCAGTTATTTTCAGTTTTATACTAAGAAATTATTTCATCACTTATGGCATATTATTCTATTTATATTAGCTATCATACAATATTGGTATAATATTCACTATTGCAATAATAATAATAATAATAATAATAAATTTGGAAGGGACCTTGGAGGTCATCTAGTCCAACACCTTGCTCAGGTAGGAAACCTATACCATTTCAGACAAATAGCTGTCCAATCTCTTCTTGTTTCAACCAACAATGAAATTATCTTAATGTTATTAGTGAAAACTTGTTATTGTTCAAAATGGCTCCATACTACAGGTTTTTTTATACTTACCCAGTATTCGTAGCATTTCTCAGATATTGCAAAGTCTCTGAAATATATGATTAAATCAAATCAGTTAAGAGTAAAATAGGAATAAAGGGACATGATACAATCAGAGAAGGAACTGTGGACTAAAAGAAGAGCAGGGGAGAAATTAAAATTAAGGGACATTATAAGTGAAGATTATAGTTTTAGCCTAGGCTATTTGATATAGATTGAATAAAGCAGAATAAGAGAAGCCAAACAAGTAGGTGACCATCATCTATACTAGTTTCTGTTCTCAAAATCCTGGGATTTTTCGACAAGAAATAGAAAAATATGCTTTTCCACTCTTCATCTCTGCTTTAATTTATAGCTATAAATAAGTTTTGGCTGAATACAGATCCCATTCAGGCTGCATAAACCATCAGAATATGTTGAAGGATTTTATACAGTGGCTCCATTCATTCCAAGCACTTATGAACATAATCCACCCTGTTTGTTTTACCTTCAGTGCACAGACCAAAAGCATTTAATGAAGCAATCAGTAAATAAGAAGTGCTTTTGTCTGCCCAAATTGCAAATGAAGACATTTTCAGAAAAAGAGTTTTAGACTGATGCATTCTGTGCTAGCTCCTATTTTAGTATCTATAGTGTGAAAACAAAAATAAAGCTTATGTAGAAATGGTTAGGACACCAAGTGAAAGCAAGTAACAATTCACCATTAGTGAAAGTTCCCTGGGTCCCATCATGCTACATATTTTCAGTTAATAACATCTTAAATTAGAAGCAATGTTACCTATTCTAAAACCAAAAATATTCCAAAGATGTTTTATTTCTTCATAATTTCCTATTTATCTACAGGAAAAATTTAGGGAAACATTTTCAGAAAACTAATCTCCGCATGCTCTGTTTTTCCCTCCCTCCTTTTTTATTTTTCTGGGCCTTCACATTCCAAATTAAGTTAAACAGTCGATGAAAGGCCACAAAATATAAGGATGGTTGACTGTAAGAATCCCCATACCTTTTGATAAAGCTGGATGACATAGTAGTAGTACGTAGTAGTAAAGTTGGAAGAGACCTTGGAGGTCATCTAGTCCAACCCCCTGCTCAGGCAGGAAACCCTATACCATTTCGGACAAATGGCTGTCCAGTCTCTTCTTAAAAACTTCATTCACCACTTCTGGAGGCAGGTTGTTCCACGACTAGTTAATTGTTCTAACTGTCAGGAAGTTTCTCCTTAGTTCTAGGTTGCTTCTCTCCTTGATTAGTTTCCACCCATTGCTTCTTGTCCTGCCTTCAGGCGCTTTGGAGAATAGCTTGACTCCCTCTTCTTTGTGGCAGCCCCTGAGATACTGGAACACTGCTATCCTATCCCCCCTCGTCCTTCTCTTCATTAAACTAGACATACCCAATTCCAGCAGCCGTTCCTTATATGCTTTAGCCTTCAGTCCCCTGATCATCTTTGGTGCTCTTCTCTAATAAACAGTGGCATTCTTGTTGTACTACTTAACTACTTTGTGACTTAAAACAAAGTCATAAGACTAGGAAAAAAGTGCTAATGAAACTGAATTGGCTGATGTGTGTGATGGGCCACATTCATCACATAGGTACATGTGCCAGAAGATAACGAAAGTAAGTTTGAGGTTCAAAACTGGAAGTGAGACTTTTAGCAGAAGGCTGAGATTGGAAAAAAAGTGGCATTCAGCACTTTTTAATGTGGGGCAAAGAAGGAGGATTAAGATAGAAGAGAACAGCGTTTCTAGGGAACGTACAACTGTACAGAGGTAGAAGAATAAAGGAGAGCAACGGATACTTTCATCTCACACAGTTTGAAATGTCAGTGAAGAATTTAAGAAGGATTATTAGCTTAGAAAAAGAATTAAGATGGTAGCTAATCATTAGTAGGACGGAAGGAAAATGTAAATTCAATTAAGGAAACTTGAGACTTGAGGAACTCGTATGTGGTTTGGGCTGGAAGAAACATAAAAAAGGAGTAGAATAACCCTGAAGAGAAGCAAAAGGAACCAGAATAAAAACTATATGATTGTTTCCAAGTGAAAGAAGTAAAAATGAAAGTGTAGTTTGTGATGCAAAACTGCTTTAGCCAAAGAGAAAAAAGACCTTGAAAAAACTGTTGTAATGAAGTAGAATGCACTAAAAAAAAATACCCCTCAAAAGTAGACTGCCTGAAATGTGAAGATGAAGAGAAAAAGAACTGGTTGATGAATCCTGAATATTTTGAGAAAGAAACTTAGATTAAAGAGATTATAAC